GGCATACCTGTGCCTGCTGGGAGCACCAGGTACCATTCCGGTATGGTGCTCTGGAGGGCCCGGCCACCCACCCGTTCTCCTTACTGCTATTTGAGCCAATCGGGGCTTTCATGCACGCACACAGAGCATACAGCGCCTGCACAATGCTCCGCTGAGCAGCTGGAGCATCACGGGCAGTAAGTAGGCATGCGCGCACTGCGCACGTACTGCACGCGTTCATGTGGTGGACGCCGAGTCGTGTTGCAGCGTACCGGAACTCACCATTGGACTACTTGTACATTGAATTTCCCCTTATACTGAGAGTGGGCAACTTTGGAAACTTTACAACCTATGGACTTCAATTCCCAGAATTCCCCGGCCAGCCATGTAAGTTATACAAAACTTACCAGTGATACATCCCCCAGCAGGAACATCACCATACGGCATATTAAGCCCTGCAAGAGGAGAAAGCTCAAGAAAAGATTCATCATCAAGAAGCAATTTTAAGCGTTCGTGAACAAGCAATTTCTTTGTCCTCTGTGTATGAATCAATATTGCACTTTTTGTTCTGCTTTTGCTGATCTTCTCAGACAGCTCTGAATATCTAATATGAAAAAAAAATAGTCACGAGATCAGAAATGTTTTCCAAATCTCCTTATCAATGTTCTCATAGATCCTAAACAGCTGTAGGTATATTATTTTGCTATCATACAAGTATGGATAGGGAAATAATGAGATTGTATATAGTCAGAAGGAAATTCCACAAAGTTGCTAGTTACAAGTATTTTTATTATTTGGAATGTAAAGAAAGATAAATTTACATGAGTCTTGTAGAAACAATAAAACAGCCTGCATTAGCATGCTTGATTGTTCATGGTAAGACTCAGCAAGACTGGCTGCTTCCTGAGATATAAGCATGCCATTCTTGACTAAATGTGATTACCAGTATGTTTGATCTGTTCTATTATAAAGTCACTAAGGAATATTTTGCCATGGTAGGGAATATCCCAGATCTTAAAAGAAATTTTAAATTACTCCATTCTCTGATTCTTGGATTTTTGCTTTTTCAAAAAGATTATCTGCAAATTAAGCTATAAGAATTTATTAAAAGTTTTGCCTTTGTCTTCATGTTACTCTTTCAGCTCTTGTTAATGATTTCTCTGCTTTTATCTGTGGAACATGATTAACTGATGTAAACAGCCATTCATTTAGTGGGATTTTACAAAATATTGAGTAATTGCAATATAAATATCTTACATTCAAGTTAAAACTTGAGACAACCTTTCAATAATATACAAGAGGTATTATTTGTATTTATTAAAAATATTTATTAAAAATATCTAGTTTTGATTACTTTCTTAGCTTTCTTAGCTTATAAGAACTCTGTCCTCAACTTTCTTCCTTTGATAAATGTCTTCACTTTTTTCATCTCTTTTTGCTGTTCTTTGTTCTGCATCATCCATTCTCATCTCAATTTTCTCTGTAATTACTAATATTTTATGAATTTTAAACATAATAATTTGCAATATTAATTTTTCATGTTGCGCCATCCTTCCAACTTATAAACACTGCCACTATAGCATTCAAGGCTTTTATTGTATTCCAACAAATTCATTATAGTTTTCAGGTCAAAGCTTTATCTTCACTGCAGTCCAGCTACTAATAAAAACTCCAAAAGAGCACCTGTGTAAACAATCTGTGCTCTTTCCACATGCTCTTTCCACTATCGCTCTCAATAAACTAACAGAAAGGCTTTGAAGTGTAACTCCAATGATCAAAGAGAAGAAAGAAAAAACAATGTTTCCAAGCCTTAAAGTGGCAGTGTTACTTTTTTCTCTCTCTGCTGTTACAGCCCTCTTTAAATAGCAGACTTACTGAGAAAAATTCTTAATAAAAAAAAAAATCCAATCAAACTTTGTAAAAAAAACAAAAAAGAAATTTTCAATCCACAAGTATATATAGAAAAAATAAAGAAGAAAAAGTAGAAGGAAAACTAAGCCTTCTAATAAGAAACATTTGCAGAACTTCCATTTGTAAAAAGAGAAATTAAAAAAGGATAACACACTAAGTCTAATGTAGTTTAATTTCACTGCTTGTTTTCTTTTGTCTTCAATTTTAATTGAGTTTGAATTTTCTTTGGGTAGTCTCTTTTCTAATAATAAAATTTCCTCATCAATGCAACACACTTTCTTTTCCATTTTCTTTCTGTTCCGGAGCTGTCCCAACTTCAGCAGCTTCAAGGCTGGGTTTCTATCATTGGAAAAAAGAGCTTCTCCTGGATCAATAAGGGACTTTGCAATGTCCCTAAGATCAGCAGGATGTACTCTTCTCTATCATTGTCTCTTCAAGACAGTTTAGGCCCAAAAGGACCATCCAGTGGCAGAAATATCGACTGCGATCTTGGAGCTCCAAAATAGCACATCATATCATGTCAGCTCCCCTTTCATTCCAAATACTTTGAATCAGATTATTGATTTTAAATATTACAACTTGGTACTATATTCTTGATGATGTTTTTGAGATGATAATACAATTTCTGCCATTTTACATCCAAAAATGATCCTAAAAATGTGCATAACCTATGGTTAAAGAATAAATACATTTGTATCTTTATCCATCCAGCTTCCATCCTTAATAAACAACGGAAACCTTTTGAATGCAGTGTATGTGAGATGCTTGTGGAGACATCTCTTCTCAATGATTTCTGCTCACCCCACCATATTGGACAGAATCAGTATGTACTGGGTTTTATTGGTGAAGGAGTATCTGGGTCCAGGGTACTAATGGACTTCTGATGTATATGCAATTGTATCTCTTACATTGTTTGTTTTTCTTAAGTATTTGATTGTGATTCTGGATTTTCTTTATCTAGAGTGCCTGTAGTATCTTTGGTAGAGTGCTGCTATAAATAAGCTAAATAATATAAATGTTTTAAAAAATAAATTATTGATTATATTTAACTTTCATTATGTGCTGACAAGTTAAATGAATCTGCAATCTCAGCTAAAGCATACAAAATTACTTCCAATACTAATATATATATATAATGCATTTTGTTTGTTATTGTTACATTTTTTAAAGTCCTGTTTGCTGCCCAAAATTGCAGTTGTGAAATGAGCAGTATATAAAGCAATACAGTAAATAAATGCATATACAAATATATTACTTCAAACTGATGATGAAGTGAAAGATGAAAATGGTAGGAATATTGCGAACAAGAGAATTACCTTTGAATACATGTTTCGCTGTTCTTCATATTTCCCTCAAATATATGTCTACAGAATGATGGGATTTCACCTTCCAATACTGGAAAATTTCTCATATCCTGACACTTATTTTTTAGGTTAAAAATCACAGGTGTAGAATGCATCATGTTCTGTGGAACTTTATTGATCGATTTTATTGTAGACTTGAAATTCAGCAAGTTCCATATTTGTTGTTTGCCCATGTCAATTTTCTGCCACTGCCTCTTGGTGTTTAGAATAATCTGAAGTAGGATATAAACAGAGAGCACTGTGAATTACTGGAGAATGGAATAAAGGAAATACAGTTCTACATCATTCTGGATTGATTAAAACAAAACAAAACATTTATTAACGGGGGGAAACCCATAATTACAAAATCACATAATCTAACAGAAATCTTTCCCCAATTTTGTGGTCTCCAAATAGGTTGAGCTATACCACCACAATTTTCTAGGTTATTTGACCAATAACATTACAAGTTATGATTTCCTGTAATTGAGGTTTATTCTCCATTTGGAGTATATAAAGTTGGGGAACGTTGTGCTTATCTATAACTACATTTGGTCAAACATTTAATTCAGTATCACATAAAATTATGTGAAACTGTTTTAATAAAGTACATACCTCTTGTCATTTTCAATCCATTTCAATAAATAAGATATCATCTTAATAGGAAGACTCTTAAACATAGCGATCTTTACACAATATTCTATTATCTATTAAAGTCGACGGTATCCAAATCCTACCTCTTGTCATTTTCAATCCATTTCAATAAATAAGATATCATCTTAATAGGAAGAGAAGACTCCTAAACATAGTGATCTTTACGCAATATTCTATTATCTNAGGTTGACTCAGCCTTCCCTCCTTCTGAGGTAGGTAAAATGAGGACCCAAATTATTGGGGGCAATATGCTGACTCCATAATGGAGTGAGCTCGTGTTAGTTGTCCCAGCTTCTGCCAACCTAGCAGTTCGAAAGTAAGTAAAAATGCAAGTAGAAAAATAGGGAGCATTTTGGTGGTATGGTAACAATGTTCCGTGCGCCTTTAGCATTTAGTCATGCCAGCCATATGACCAGGCAGACGTTTTTGGACAGCGCTGGCTCTTTGACTTAGAAACAGATGAGCACCACCCCCTAGAGTCAGGAATGACTAGCACATATGTGCGAGGGGAGCCTTTACCTTTACCTTACTTTCAATATATTTACATAGTGTTGCATTTTATCAGTGGAGTTTTGTTTGGCTGATTTTTTTTAAAGCAATTATAATCTCTTACATTAACCCTTTAGAGAACAAAAATAAAATTATGTGGTAAAAACTTCTCCATTAATTTGCTTGTTTCCAAACTAAAGCAAAAGGATCAGATGCTACCACAAAATGAATACAGAGTGTGCCTTCCTATGCAATTAAATAAAAATAATTTATAAGGCATTGTGTTGGGAGCCCAATCTATTTTATGACACTGGTAAAGATTTTGAGGGTATAACCCCTCTCTCTCAAGAAAAAAGCAATGGAAAGGGAAAAAAAACCTGTTTCCTAATTGTTGTAGAAAATCTGCATTCAATTTTCAGTTCTTATAAGACTGCACGCAATATCAAAAACATTCCTGTCTGCTGTTGGCAAAAATGTAACATGTAATTTTTGAACTGAATGTTGTGACTTTCTCTGGAAAACAATATTTGCCTTACAGCAAGACATAACTCTTCTGTATATACGCATACTCACATATGCAAACAAAAGCATGCATCATGAAGCTATGAGAAATCTGCGATTACTGCAATAATAATACTGTACTTCATTTTGTATTTATAATTTGAATCATGTACAACATTTAAGCAAATTCCATTATACAATGGCAATTTCTGTGCCTAAGCAATGTGGTTGTAAAATGTGATATTCCATGACCACATTGCTTAGTGACAGCAATCTCTCCAGTCCCCACCGTCAGCTCTTTCCCAACTTTGGTGTTTAGGAACAAAAGACCTTCAACTCCATTTGTAGCAAAAGATATACTTTTACTAAAGTCAAGTGATTACAATGTAAGCATAGCCAGATCTGAATATTCCTTTGTAAACCCAGTGATTCTTTTCCCCTTCTCCCAGGCCCTCCACCCCTTGGTCATCTTAATGTCCAATGTTAATGTCCAATGGTATTCAAATTATTAATGTCTATTAGTATTCAAATTAGGTGTTTTGGTAACAGTTCTCAGATTTGGTACCTCTGGTGCATGTTTGCATTCCATTCTCATGCCTGGGTCCTTGGATCTTTCAACTGCTGTCTGGTTGGCACTTTTGCACTTCTGATTCTTGTCATCCCCTCTCCCTATATTTTCCCCATTCCCCCCCCCTTTTATAGCAGGAGGCCATCAAAGTGAAGCAAGGGTGAAGCTGTGATTACAGATCTGACACCCTCATTGCTATTGTTAAGTAAGGATTGTGGGTCATCAAGTAAGCACCTCCTTGTAACTTCCTACCAACTTCTGACAACCAAAGTTAGTGGGGAAACCAGAAAGAAACTGGAAGTCCCAGGTGGTTTGCAAGCAGGCTGGCACACAGATAAGTGGCTTCTGCTAGGGAGTATGGGAATATGCAGGGGCTGAGAAGGTCATAGCACAAGCAGGACAGGGCTGGGCATGGCTGCCAGGTGGGAGAGTGTGTGCCAGGTTGCACAAATGGTGGGGAGGTGGAGGAGTGGCAAAAGAGACACAGCGTGATTACAGTGGGGCTGTTGGGATGGTTATTGCCAGTGGGAGAGGGTGCACAAGTGGTGATGGTATGTGTGATTGCAGCAAGACTCAGAGAGACTGTATGAGTTACAGGGAGGCAAAGCACAGATGGGATGGGGATGGGGTGGCCACTGCCAGGTGGGAGGTGTGCATGAGGGAGACTTACCCAAGCACATCATCACCTTCCCTGTGAGCTTCCCCATTTATTTTGCTTGTGAGAAGCCAGTATGAAAGGTCACTAATTGTTATCCCATGATGGGGAATATAACATGCTATTTGATGACAGTTCATTATGGTCTATGTTTGCTTAATTTAGATCTATTCATTACAGATATTTTTAATGTGTAATTTGCTGACTTAATTTTTTAGTAACAAACTTAAAAGCTTAGTCATAAGGAGGCAGGCAGGCAGGCAGGCAGGCAGACAGACAGACAGATAATGTATATTTGATTGGCTCTTGTGATTTGAGTTTGTATTCTACTAATATATTCTTGGACCCAGGAAGGGAAACTAACCACACCAGAAGCTGAAAAGAATATTTTTAAAGTAGATTACAAAAACATAATATAATGTGTACTGTATGTATTTGTGAATAAGTCAAAAAAATTAGGCGTCAAAATATATCTTTAAAATTGGGTGTGGCTTATCCACGGATAGGCTTGTTCAGAAGTACATAAGACTTTTTTTTAACTACAGGTAGTACTTGATTTAAATGACCAGTAACAGTGATTGTTCAAAATTACAATAGATTCTCCAAAACGTAGTTGTGGCCTGGTTCTAAAATTCTCAAAGCCAGTTTCCATCACCCCTGTCTCATGGTGACCAGCCTGCGTTTACAATCATTTGTAACATCCTGCAGTCACGAGATTACAATTTACGTTTTGCCAAACCTATAATTTACTTCCAATTTTATCACATGTGCAAAATTACACCCACATGGAGAAGTTCCAGATTACTGATTTATTATTAAAGCATGTGCAAAGGAATCTTCTCAGACTAACAGTTAGCACCTGATTAAAATAAGGGTCAACATCATTCAAGGGGATTGAATTTAGTTCATTTGTAGCTATCAGTACGTAACAATTCTAAACTGATGCTTCTTTTAACTCCTTCCCCTGGTTCTGCTAGTCCTCCTATAGGTTTTTGATACAAAAATTCCATAATGAACAAAGAATTCCCTTAATGACCACAGCATTCACAATGACTGCTGCATAAAAAGACAGTAAAACTGGATGATCACATATGTGAAAACAATAAAGAAAAAAGACATCATATGAAACCAACATGGTTCCCCAAAAAACTCTCTGGCAAATTGAGGAACAAATATAAAAAAAATGAAAAGAGGGCCACATGACTAAAACAGAATACCAGCAAATAGCCTGAATCTGCAAGGAAATAGTCAGGAAAGCTAAGGCTCAATTTCAGTTAATACTGAGAATTAATGCTATACACACACACACACACACACACACNAAGTTTTGCTATTAAGAATGCCTGATGATAAACTTGATCTGAATGAGATTCCTAAGCGTGGAGTTAACTGCATGCCCAAGCAAGCCTACAGCACTCGAGGCAGAACAGTAAAAAGATGATGTTATTTTGAGCTCCCTTCGAGTAAAAAGGACGTTGAAGTTGAATCCCATCTGTTTGCATTTTAACTGAGAACAGCTGCCGGGTTTCCTCCACCCCCTCTTGGAGCAGAGAGAAACATCCTGTTTAAGTGAGAAAAGCTGATTATCTCTCATGAGATAAAGGACTTTGTTGTGATTAAGAAAATGTGCTAAAAGGGGGCCAAAAGCAGCCTCTACAACCTAGCTGGCTCAATCTGCTCTGAAAAGCCTGTTTTTGTTTGTGGAAGAATGCTTACAGGCTAGACTCTTTGTTTCTCCTCTGATATACTGAGAAAGCAGATCCTGCAGAATTAGAAAAACATGTTTCCTCTCTTTCCTTGTTTGAAAGCAAGATAGACTTTGTTTCTGTTTAATTGAGCTCCAGGGGAGGGGACCACAGGAATCACATAATAAAACAGCCCCCTTCCCAACCTATCCAGTCCAATCTGCTGCTGTTAAGGCCAACCGCATGGGGCTTGGAAGCAAGCAGCAGCTAGGAAAGAAAGAAAAATCTGTTTCAGTAAATCAAAGCAAATTTCAAGCCTTACTCCTTAAGTGGTTGTAAAAGCCTCATGGAAAGGTCTCCATGGCAACGGAATTTGAATAAGTAAGAGGTCAGCTATCCCAGATCCGACCTCCCAAGTCCTTTGAACTTTATTGATAAGTTGTCCTGGCAACAAGGGGCAATAAAGAGGCTCAACCATCCCAGCATTAGCTTACTTTGTGTGGGCAGAGCCGTCTGAAAGTCAAGTGGCCACGAGGCAAATGCAGTCCAGCTGCAAGATATGGGCAGGCTGTTTATGAAATATTGGAAGAAGACAAATTCCTTAGGAGGTACCAAGCTAGCAGGGTCCAAGATGGGTTCCGAGTCCGGGTAAAGACCCTTAGGAATT